AGAATTTTGCAATATTAAGTAGCGAACCAAGAGTAAAAGAGAAGAGAAAACAAAAAGAATCGAGAGTGATGAAAGAGCTGAGTTAGAGCTTAAAGAAACTAATTGTTGGGAGTAAATTGGAGCTCATAAACACCAAAAGTAAGCTTCCTTGCTTAAATCCTCCTCTCTTCTTCCATTTTCTTGATGGTAGAAGCTAGGGTTTAATGTTAATGGTGATTTTTGGTCTATGAAAGTTATAGGTCTAAACCCATTGACCTAAATAAAATTAATGGGAGTAGATTGAGCTAAGTGAATTTGATATTTATGACTTTATGATCATTGGTGGTTGGAGGACATTAAATGTCTGAAATTCCCATAAATTTATTGGTTGGGAATAATGTAGCTTTATTAATGCTCATCTAAGAGCTCAATGTTATTTATGAGAGTTAAAGGAAGCTAAGAAGCCTTATAGGTATTTCTATATGAGTCTAAAATAAATCTTAAGTATTAAGAAATGATGAAATGTTAGTGAAAAATAGCTCAAAAATGGATATTGATATTTTGCATGATAAATGCTTGTAGTGTAACTACTATTGGTACTATTCGAGCTTCTTGGAAGCTTTGGGAGTGAGTAGTCGAGGGGTGAAACTTTTGACCTCTCAAAGGTTTGAGGTAACTAAGAAAATTCTATCTTATGCTTGTGTGTATTTATTAGTTTATTGATTTATGATTTATCATTGAAATGTGTAAAATAAAAAGAAATGCAAGTGTGGCTTAATTTGTTAGGAAATCCACTAGATCCAATTTATGAGTTTTATGCTTTGTGATGTAAAATTTCCTTAAGAACAATAGTGGTGAATTTTCGTATTAAGGTTTATTAGGATTTTAATGATTTTGTAAATTGAGAAGTAACATGAATATTTGTTTAAGAGAAGTTCAATGATATTTTAAAATAGTGGAGTTCAATGATTTTGAAAGTGTGAAGTACAATGATTGTGAAGTTGGAGTTCAATGACTTGTTTGGTTTGAAGTTTCATAAAATGTAATTGAGAAGTCTAATGATTGTGTAATGATGAAGTTCAATGAAAATTGATAATATGAAGTTCTATTAACTGTATATGTATGAGTTATGGCATGAATGTACATTGCATGATCTTGAAATGTGGGAATTCGCCTAGAAAACGAAGTAGATCATAAAATTCACGTGGTAAGGCCTATCTAAGTGATGGTTTGTCTGGATTAATTCTATCCATATTATCCCACTTGTTCAATGAGGGACTTAAACCTAACTAGCTATCAATCGGTTAAATGAGGAGGCTAGTCTAAGGTGTATGAAACTACATGGTATGAGAAATAGGGAAAACCGTGATCTATAAGTGAGTTGGGTGTGCCTTAATCAGGTAATCCCCTCACAAGTGTTCAGACTAGGAAAGTCAAGGAATATAGACTATCCCATTGAGTTATAACCCACGATTTTGTGTCAGAAAAATAAGGAGGATATAAAGAAGATGTGGTCATGCATATAATGAGTAAAGGTGCTTGATGTCTATATTGAGTCCATAGTGATGACATTTTGAGTTGAGTATTAATTTCTACCATTATGTTTGTCAATTATTTGTATGACCAACTCTATTTATATAAAAAAAAAAGTGCTAAAAGCATTGTTTTTCAAATAGATGCTATTATGTGAGTTGAATTGTAAATATCTAATTTTAATTGTTTCACAAGGGTTAAAGTATTAATATTAACTGCCACTTGTATTTAAACTAATGGATATGCATTAGTATGGGTTGGTCGAACCTTGGTTATTGAATAGTTATACTCACCCCATTATCTTTAATATTATAGAGAATAGTTCAAGAGGTATGGATAAAGGAAAACATCTTAAGGCTTAGGATCGTGATCCTTTATAGTAGGCCTCCTTATTTTGAGTAAACTTTTGTATATGACAATTTCAATTACCAATTAGGATTTCTTTTTTGTTACTTACTTGCATTAAATGAAATGTAAATTGTAATGGCATTTTGAGCCCTAAGGAGAGAATTAATTATTCTGTGTTATGGTAATAGGGCCAAAATATTAATGTAAGTGAGGGTAGAGAATATTATGTGATGATTTGCGAGAACTTAATGAAAATTATAGTAAACTTTCCTTTTTTATGTTTTTGAGTTTAAGGGATTGAGTAGTGAAAATTTAATCTAGAATTATTGGTGCATTGTACGAGTTGGTCTTAATGATTGAGTTGGCCATATTGGTGTTGGTGGCTATAGGCCCTTGGATTTGGTTTGGACACTTGAAATTTGTTGTAAAGGTGTAAGTTTTGAAATGGGTGTCCAATTTTTGTTATAAGAATAATTTAAGTCTGAGACCAATGCTATTAGTTAGAGCCTAGAAAGAACTTTCTATAGACATCTAGTTTGCGTCCTTCAGACGTCAGACGGAGATTTGGGACGTGTAGGAAGTTGGCCTTAATGCTGTCAAATTGTGCCATGGCGCATAGTGTCACAAGTCATGGCAGGTGTCACAGAGGCGAACACACTGCGGCGCATGCCTCAAAAATTTTCAGAATTTCTTTGGTTTTAAATTTTTAAACAAATGCACTCACTTATGCAATGACCCGTTGCTTTCGTGTAATTGCAAACTTTGATTTGTCTGATTGCAAGGCTTGAAAATGATTTTAGTTTTATAAACTTGGGGTCTCCATTTTGTTAACCAATGAAAATTCTGTATTTGATGATTATTAATGTCTTATTTCTTAATTACTTAGGACTTGGGTCTAATTATGGGATTAGAAGGAGGAGGATATTATAAGTCTTAACATGGGTTCTCCTGTCTATTGATGGTCTGAGTTCCTATATTATTTCTGCTGTGGGTTCTTTGGCATTTTCAAGCTACAGCTGGGGGTTCGTAGGCATTTTATGGGTATATGTTCAATATTGTTGGTTGTCGGCATTTCTCTACTGTAAGTGTTACTAAGTGTTTCTAGCTTAGAGTTTTTGTCGTGGGTGTTGCAGAAGAGAGTGAGGTACGAGGGGGAAGAAGAGAATGAGAGGAAATCTAACTCAGCATGCCACACAGTCTTTTTCTTTCTGTCACAGTAATATATAAATATTTTAGTGTGTATTTGGATTACCTCCCAACTGAGGTTAGGGTGGCCCAAACCTCAACTAGAAGGTAAAAATTTCATTAACAACATTAAAATTTTGTTTGGATAAAGTGAGCTTAAAATGGGCATTTTGGTGAAAGTTGAGATATGTAGCTTTTTAACAAGTGATGGGGGTGGAGCATTAGGATTCTTATTTCTCCCCGTATCTTGCTCAGTCTCCCTATCTTCACAAGCTATGCTAGGATTGTGACAACAAGGTTCACGATGCCAACTTCTTGGTGTCGAAGCACACCATGGTCCTTCTCTATCGAACCTGCCGGTGTTTCACTCCTTGGAAAGCTTGTGATACCAAGTTCATGTTGACTCTCTCTCTCTGCCACCACTGTTTAATCAATTCATGCAAGCATCAACAAGATGAATAATGATGAGCATGATCATCACCATGATCTCCGTGATAGTCCTGATCTCATCACGAGGGGGAGGAGGATGTTAGAGATTCTACTTAAGCTAGTTCTAGTTTAATCAGTGACGTTGGAGTTTCAACCAGAAGTTGCTAGTGGCCTTTTTGATCTCCTCTATGGAGAGCTATGCATCTTGGTGGAAAAGACCATGTGGAAGCGTGATCGGAGCGGGGTGATGATGAGAGCCTTTTCTTCTTGCACAATCACAAAAGCAAAGGCGTGCTCGTGTGAGGGGGAGAGTGTTTTTATTTTTTTATTTTTTACTTACGAATAAAAGAAAGAGAGAGGTTGAAGAAGAATTTCTAATTAATTCACCTACTTAATATTTATTAGTTTATTTTAGATTTTTTAACTTTATTTTTTAAATAAAATTATAATTTAAGGAGAATTACAGTCATGTCCTATGCAAGGGAATTAATTATTGCAAGATTCATTGACAACAGAATTAAACTATATTGACAACACAATATTGTTAATATAATTTAGTTTTGTTGTTAATGAACCTTACATTAATTAATTTCTTTGTATGAGACTTCAATGTAATTCTCCTTATAATTTAAAGTTTAATTTTCTTAAACAAAATGTCAGTTAATCACAAAGTTTAATATTTTTTTGAATCAAATTAATCACAAAAAAACATAATAAAATTCATGCCTTTTTTTGTCATCATACATCTAAACTGACTTTTGAATTAAATTATTTAAACAAATTTCAGTTTATCCAATTGATTTCTTAAAAAAAATGAATCGAAATAAAAATCACATCAAAGTCACACTAATCTCAGTTTGTTAACCTCAATTGTAAATTTTTTAATTCAAACCCACACATAGTGTAAGTGAAGTTGAAACTGAAATATGAAAACTTTAAAATTGACATTACTTCAAAATAATTTATGGTACCAATTACTTTTTACAAAAAAATTTCAAATAATTTTTACTTTTTAACCCTTTTAAAATTGAGAGGTCTCTTGCTCTTCCATCTTTCCTTTAAATTGAGGGGTTTTTTTTTTTTTGAGACGGGAGAAAAAAGAAAGAATAATTACACTTCACTAAATTGCCTTTATATTATTGGAAAAAAATTTTAAACTATTTATTATATTTAAAAAATCATGTCTTCCCCCCCTACAATAAAATAATTTTTATTACCTAATAAAATTTAATAAAGAATTCATTTATGTAAAAATTCAATAACTTTTTATTGGAATATTAAAAAAACTAAAGAAATTCCATTACTGCAATAAAACCTGAATCCTGACATGGGCTGGTTGGACTTATATAAACCCAACAGTCACATGGAAGAGTCCTTTCGAGACATCCAATAAAAGTGAAACGATAGAGAAAATTCGCATGGCCTTTTCACAAAGATGATAATCATGGAGGAACTGTCAAAGCCAAGTGCCGTTGAATTTGAATACGGTAATGGATGAGGAAAAGCCACGTAGAAGACGAAGAAGCCGTGCACATTTTCTTTTTCACATATCCTGCCATCAGATTTTTCTCTACTCGTGACTAATGAGAAGTTCAATTTCTCTTTCCCTCTTCAGACGCCAATTCTTAAGTAGCTTGGCTTGCAACAAGATTTCTTCATCCTCAATAATGGAGAAAGTTTCAGCGGGTAATGAATCATCATATCCATATCTTGGTTTTCTAATCTGGGAATTTTATCGCTGTTTTTGTGATTGCATGTATCTGTATCTGTGATTGCATGTCCATTAAACGTCGTCATTCTCCCTCCAAATCTCACTGTTTTTGTATTGAATTTTAAAATCACCTTACCCAATTCGAGCTATCTAAGGTCAGGTTCCTCGCCTGTTTTATTCAATATTCAATCTGAGAGTAATCATGAGGGAAATTGAACTGATATTGTTAAGGGGGGGATTCTATCTGAACTAGCTTCTTTCGGTGTCTTGTATTTTGACTGGGCTGTTGTTGTTATTTGCATATTGATTTCGTACGACCTTAAGACTGTTCATCCTTGTATTGTCTTTCAGGTGCGGATGGATTCAATCGGACGACTGAGCGCGATCTTAAAGAAGCGGGCGATTATGATTCAAAGAAACGCATATCTGATGATATAATGCCTCACATTCTGCGTCTGTAAGTATATCTCTTTAAACCCCCCAGACACTCAAACGAGCGGAAGTTTAACATTATTCTCTAATTCCTGTCTATTTATTACAATTATCACAAATATTTAGTCTAAAATGCAAGGTACTGAAATCAGACCGGTTATTGAACAGATTAATAAGCTAATAGTTCAAGAGTTAACGATTAAAATTGTAGTAAAACCATGATTAGATTGGCCATAAATAAAATATTTTATTAATCCAGTTAGAAAAACTGGTTCAATGATTTACCGTTTTAACGGAACAGCCTCAAATTTCTATACTTTGCTTCATTATCTTCTACCCTCCATTCTTCATTCGCCTCAGGCCCTCAGCCCTCTGAGTCAGGAACCTTTGGCTTGAAAATTAATGACCTATTGTTGGTTGTATCAGCGCTGTGCTTGTCTCCATGATCTTTTCTGCAAACTGCATATTTTTATAATATTATGTATATATAATTTATTTTTTATGTTCTTGTTTGATACGCTCGTTGCTGAACTCATGGTGAAAGCAAAATGCTCTCACCAACAAGCCAACAGCTGAATTAGAATTTTATTTTTATGTTATTATATTTAATTTTAAAGAATTATCAACTTTGAATTTTTTTAAATAAAAAATAACATATTTTTACTAATTTTGGTTTTAAAATACAAAAACATGAAAGTAATTTCAACCAATTAATTTGATTTTAAATTATTTTGATGATGTTAGTTTTTATATGATTTTTATTTTCACTATATTTTTCTAAAGATAGTTACATTAAACATCTATATTTTGATATAAGAACATTATATTTATTGTGATATTTGCTCATTTTTCTTCTTCTCTATTCTGTTCAAGCTATCCAAACATGTTTTCTCTTCTTTCCATTTTCTCTCCTCCCATTTTCTTTTATCTTAACTTTTCTTCTCATCCAAACGGAAGGCAAAAGATCATAATTGATTATTTTTTTACTTTTAATGGTTAAATCAGTTTTTGATACATATCAAGATGCAATGATACAAGGCACTATAAAGCATTTGCAATGAAACAGCACTATATTGAAAAATTGAATGAAATATTTTACATAATTACATTATCTGGGCTGAATTAGTCAGAATTGTCTTCATAACAATGTAAGAGAAGTCCTAAACAGGAATTAATCAAGGAAGGGGAGATGTCCAATCTTTGGCAGATTAGTAATAGTGAAATAAGTTAGGAGTTTTCAACGATTCTTTTTGTCATCTTTTATCATCTGTAGGCATTTAGCTTGCAGTTAAACTCATAATGAGAATATTATGAACCAAGTACAATGGCTGGAGTGTGGAGTGTTTTCTCTTCTGCCTCTAAGTTCTTCCAAACCATACCTTCCTAAATTGCAGCATTCTTATCAACGGGCTCACCTTTTTATTTTAATTTCTTTCAATATTTCATGTTTCAGATCATTCAATATGTACACTTCGTTTTTCTAGACAAGTTCTCTGTACAAGTCTAATTTTAGGATTTCTCCCCCCTCTACAAAACTTGCAATTTCCTTTGTGTCATTATTTCCAGCAAATTGTTGTGCCCTTTCCAGATATGGATCCTGTGCAACAGCTGTTGACTTTGAAATCTATGCCCCAGATGCTTCTTTTGAGGATCCACTTATGAGTGCACATGGGTATGCATTTGTTTTTGTTTTTCATGGAATAGCCTCTGCAAGTGCCAACATGTCACTCTTAAGTATTCTTGTAAGAAGAGATATTGTTCTTATGTAATTTAAAATGTTGATACTGCAGGTTGAAACAAATCAAATCAGCATTCTATTCTCTGCCCAAGGTTTCTCTTTTGCTTGATCTTGCTTCAATGAATATTAGGTTGATAAGTTGTGACATGAAAGTTTGTTACTAATTACAATTAGGTATTAGACATTTCCACCTTTCCTTGAATTAGAAAATTATATATCCATCTCTCATGTGGATTTTTTAATATGGATGAAAAGTTTGGTCAAAGTATAGCCATACATTATCATTTTTGTTAATTATGATATGTGCAATCGTTTGGCAACCATTTAGAGTACTTGCTTGATTTTATTCATGCTTTCGTTTGTACTAAATCAAAGATGGTCCCTTGATGTTAATTTTGATACTGAAAGCAGAGCAATATAAGCCGGTTCTTTGTAGGATATATCCTCATTGGCTTCTTGTAAATTAGCTTAGCTATTATTTGTTTTTGCTTACAAAAGTTTATGCAACCTAATCTGAAGTGGTAGTGAAAAATCCAGATCATATGTAATCCATGTGGATCATCAAGCATTGAATAGCAGTGAATATTTTGATTAACGATTACCAGTGAAGGGTTATAAGAATTTTCCAAGGGTTGGCGATAAATTTTGGTTCATCTTTTGTTTTTTTTTTGTTTTCTTTTTTGGGTTCTCTTCTGTATGGTCTTGATGCTTGACTACTTTTATCATTTATCCTAGGTATTTAGTGAGTCAAGAATTGTTGACTACAGTGTTGAAGAAAATGTGATTTCTCCAGGAAAACAAGAGGTTGGCAGAATTTTTCTCTCACTTATATGCGGTTCATCATTCTTTAATCTTCTATATGTTCAACTCTACTTTGAGTATCTGCATGTTAATGCATGATTGATTATAGAATGATCCTTATTCATGGTATTGTATGCAGATATTAATAGACAGTAAGCAGCACTACAAGTTCTTGGGGAAGGATATTGATTTGGCATCACTTATTAAGTTATATGTTGCAAACGGTAAAGTTATTCGCCACGAAGACTGGTACGTGCGAATCTTCTTCATACTTCTTTTCAGCTTGCTTTCCTTTTTCTTGTTTATTCAATTTGACCTCTTTATTTTTTTTTCCATATGATAGAAGAAAGTATATGCAAATTTTCTTCTTTCAAGATTACATGAAACTTTTGCCGCCAAGAACATCTACTAGTATAAGGAGTGGGTAAAATAAAGCTTTGTTTGCTTCATGGTCTTACATGTTGATTTGACTAGTCATAGTTTCAAGCATGTGAGCTTGCATTTGCATGTCCATAAGATAGTGATTGTGTTTTTAATATCATACATGATGAAGTCGTGACTGTTACTATTTACTACTTCCCCCATCCTATGTATAAGACATGTTAAACTAAATCACATGGATTAAGAAAGGCAGTTAAAATTAGGTAAAAGTCTTGATTTTTTCAAAATTTTCTATAGAGATCCCAAATTACCCGTAATTAAAGTTATTAACTCTACCATTAAATCTTATGCCACCCAAATGAACCAATTGGATATGTGGGTATTTTTTGAAATAACTCATTAATACTTCATTAAGTTTTATCAGGTGTCTTATATTAAGGACCGAACGAAGCTTCTAGAAGATGTTTTATATTGAGGACTAGAAGAAGTATTTGCTAGTGGCAATAACAGCTTGTTAGGCCAGTCCTAGGTAGCCTAAAATTCAACTGAGGCAAAAGCTTAGAATAAGATGTTCCAACCTAAATTTAAAACTTGAGTGACAAAAAAGGAGATCATGCAGAAACTTGGGTGGATTTAACATATACGAAAACGTGAGTGAGGGAAATAGGAAGACAATGCCACTTCCCATGATTATCTCCTTACCTTAATATGCCGAAACCAAAACTTTCTCATGCTGAAGCAGAAAAAACAAAGATGACCTCCTTTTCTCTTAAAGTTGAGAAACACAGCCAACTAACCTAAGAAAATTTTGAAATGCACCCTTTAAGCATGACCCCAATCAAGATCTAAACTGCATCCAAACGATCATCTTTGAACTGTTGCAACAAGAGAACTTTCTACCATAGCTTCATGATAGGAACTAGATAGTATAGGATACTGAGTTGTACATCAAGTGGGATAGGATGGTCATTATAATTGTTTAACCCAACATTTAACAAGTTTTTAGGCGATTTGTATGTACCTCTGTAAGTATTCTTTGAGTCCAAATACATCCTTGGCTTTGGTGAGTCTTTGAAATCCAACTCACCTAAATTTTTTATTATAAAAGAAAAACAAGAAAATGTCTTACATTATGGAGTGTAGTGTGTATCACTCACATTATAATCAAAGTGGACCTTGTTGATTGTTTTGAAGTAATGTAGATAATAATTTCTGTGGTATATTTGTTCGTCTTTCACCAACCAAAGGAAACTGACAGAATCACCTAATTCAGTGGTAGTTAGTTCTTGAATGTCCACTTATACTGTTGTATGCACAAGCCCATGTTTCCATATATTTCTCCATGGTTGGCCTTCAAGCGCGTATGATTGTCTCCATAGTCCATGCAGCAAATTCTTTTTTCTCTTCTTTTAATGGTCCAACACTATACAAAAAAAACCACAGGAGACACCTGTGAGGAGAGTGAAACAGATAACTTTAAGCTCTGTTAAGAAAGGTAGAGGAAGATCGAAGAGAATACTTTTAGAGATTGTTTAGCGAGAGTTTTTAATTAACAATATTCCTAAAAACTTAATAAATAATATAGCATAATGGCGTCATATAATCCATGTGGCCAACTCCATCTAGTAGGATTAGGCTTGTTGTTGTTTAATGGTCCAACACACAGCATTTTTTTTAGCACACAGTATTATTTTGACATTTTCTTATGAAGAAAATACCCCATTCGTCTCAATTTATAAGACACTTTTAGATAAATTCACACATAATAAAACTCATTAAATACACTTCACAATTTTATTTTTTTGAGAAAAAAGTATAAATTTCAAAAAATGCTCTTTATTTACTACTCTGTTTGTGAAAGAATGTTAGAAGGAGAGTATAATGGGAAGGGTAACATTGACAAAATATCATTAATGAAATATTATTTTTGTCAAAAGTGTTTTATTTTTTGGGATGTCAAATCTCTTTCAAAAATATCTTATAAGTTAGTATGGAGGGAGTGTGACAAAACTACTAAACGTGGGCGTTGGTCAATGTTTCCAAATGTTTAGTCATGCACACTTGAGCTCATGCTTTTTTTCCCTATTTGTAATTTGAAGCCTCACTCCAAGATGTTAGTAATTTATGGAGTTCTTTTAAAAAATTTTTGGCCAAGGTATTTTTTGTAGTTAAATTTGGTCTTTCTTTCAGGAAAAATGACACAATTAAGGACTCTATCCCATACTAATGACAATTAAGAATCGTAATATTAAAAAATTTTCTCATAAACCACAAAAATATGTTACTATTAATACTTCTTAAATCATTATACATTCTCCTTAAAAATACAACATAGAATCTTCAAAATGTTGTTAGAGTATATTTTCATTTAAAGATATGAACATAATAATAATTTAAATCATCTTTGTTATGTTAGAAGATCAAACTGTGACTTTGGGGAGCATGATTGGTAATTTATTTCTGTGTTTTCAGAGGAATTTGTAGTTTTTGAAGTTGTTAGTAATTTTCAGTTAGTCTTTAGATGACAGTACTATCTATTATGAATTTTTATGTCATTTTTTCTATTTGGCCTTCAAGAAAACTAGGAGGGAAACTTTTAAAACTATTTTTGAAAATTTCTCCTCCTAGTTTTTTCTCCTCCTATTGTCTTCCTATTTTTCCCTCCACTCAAACTGTTTAGTTGTCATTTCTGTCTATTATGAATTTTTATCTGTCATTTTTCCTATGTTGGATTTTTATATAGGATGAATTGGTTTACTGGTAAAAAAAAAATATTATAATAAAAAAATATGGTCCGAATTTTTAAAAAATTTAGGAATATGACCAGTTTACATTAATATACAAAAAATTTATCATTGACAATTTAGAAATGTATAAAGGATATCATTGATATATAACGGTATATTATTAACAAATATAATAAACTGATTATAATACAAAATATAATAAATATGACTTGATATCCTTACCCCCAGAGGATAATATAGGTTATATCTGCAGAGGCTCTTTTTATATATGACTTGATGATAATATTTCCAATAGTTGAATGCATTCTCTATCTTTACCTTACGCAAACAAAAATAGCTTGTCCTGTATCACTGACATTGACTTTGAAATCAACTAGGTGGGACAAAAAACCACTCAGGAATAAGGAAACAGTGAAGCTGCCTCTCCTTGGCCGAGTTGCAGAAATGGCTCGTAGGGGTTCAATGCTGGCAACACATGTTTTCATGGGCTTCGGGAAGGATCCAAATGTGTGAACAATTTTAGACTTCAGGGCTGTGTCGTGTGTCTGTGTCAGTGTGTAGAGCTTTATATCATATAGGGGCTTGCTTCCACATGAGTGTTTGATTTCGAGTTTTTGGTCTGTTCACTTTATGGGGGAGATCAACAAGCCATATATATTTACCTGTTTAATCTTTCCCATGGCTTGTGTGGATGCTTCAATGTTATACTTTGAGAGGATATATGTTAGTGTGCTATAAATTAATAACTAGGTTCTGGGCTACCATGAATGTGGATAATCCAAAGCAAATTAGTATAGTATACTTCTCCAGTTCGAACCGAGATTTAGGTGAGATTCGGTGTAGATCCAATTTTTTATTCACTCGTTGGATCCAGGCAGTCTTGGGGGGATTACCACGACTCTTTTCTTGGCGAGAATTCATACATACCTTACAAGTATATGGACGAACATCTATCGAAAAATTTGATGAGTCATATTTCTCATGCTTCATGAACAGTGGAGTCTTTTATAAATATTATGTGGAATTATGGAAATAAATATTTTATATTAGTATGTAATTATATATTTGTTGAGGTTTTGAAAATTTTATGGTAATTTTATGCTTTTTTTCATCCTTCACCACACAAAAAGAACTCATGCACGGATGCACTCATCACATCCACGTAATTAACCTTGCAAACTTACACTTAGAAGAGACTCAGGAAGTGCAAGAAATTCTTGCATGAATCTAGTGTATCATACTATTTATGTTCTATTCAATAAAATTGTATTAATTTAATTCAATAAAATTTTATGTTACTATTTTTAATGATTGTTTTTTAAATTGAGTGCCTTTTTAATTTCTTGCTTTTTTTCTCCTTACCATTATCAATGGCAAAATCATATTAAACAAATGATGTGGTATGCCAAGTCTATACAACAATTTCTCACGAAGTGCTCAATGTCATTGGTCCACATAAGAAATAGTCTGTGGCATAAGCAAAGCAAGTTGAGCTAGAAATTAATGTTGAGATAAAAAGCGGAACAATTATTAGAAAATTAAACAAGTTTATACATAATATAAAAAACTTAAGAGATTATAAAAATAGAAAAAAATTAAAAATTAAACTGTATTAAAAGTCAACTTCATTTGTAGATCTTTTGCGTGTTTCTAATATAATTTGAAACTATTTTTCTAGGAAGGTGTTGATCACTATGGTGGAAATATAAATATTTTTGAGCATATTCATGCCTTATTTAATCAACATGTATATTTGGTAAATTGTAAAATTATAATTTCTAATATTATTGATTTATGGTCATATTGTGTCTTTTTGTTAACAATTAGATATGCTGTAAATTTATTTCTTATATATATATATTATATGTATTTAATATTATTCTTATTTGATTTTAATTAATTATTATATTATCGATTTGACTGCCAATCTAATCAATTAGATCACAAAAATTGAGTCTCATTGACCTTTCCAATTAAACATATGGTCTGACTTTTAAAACATTGCATGCAAAGATGGAATCAAGATTTAACCATGAGAAGGACCAAAATTAAAAAGCATATATACTAAAATATTTCATAACCCTCCCTCCATCCATGATTACATGGCAAGAGAGACGGTGCATTACGAGCAGTGATGGTGTAGAAGAAAAATTCATGGCAAGACGTACGCCAGATATGCATATATAGAATATTGAAGGTATTTCACCATGAATAATTATTTTTAATTAATTAATTAACTAATTAAAGTTAATTCATAGAGTTATTAAATTTATAAATTTTAACCCAACAGTTTTTTCTTTGCGATTTCCCGACTAAAATTTGTTGACTGTAATGCCTCTATAGGATTTGAGAAAAGCTTCTATGCTTTTTCCCAGTTTCATGCACTTCACCTCAATGCCAAAGCATATATAAATCTTCCTATGTGTGATGACTGGTTGAGATTTAATTAAGGATTAAAGGGCATTATTTTTTTTAAACTATTCTCAAGAATATTCTAAATTAAACTATTAAACGGTGTAATGTCACTCTTAAAGTAATAAAAATAGGATAATGTTATCCTTTCGTTAAATATCCGTTACCTTGACTATTATTAACCTGAAAAAAATATAAAAAATGACTCCAAAAAATTATAAATAAGTATTTCACAAAAAAATTTATACCAATTAAGTTCCAAAAGACGTAAATAAAAACCAATAGCTAATGTTATTTGTTTGAAAACGTGCAATGCAACCTTTACTATTAATAAAAGTTAACTTTAACCGTTAGTTGATTAGAAAAATATCTCAAAAATAATAGAAAATGCTTTTTTTGTTATTTTTAGGCCTTTGTTTGTAATTTTTGGGTCTTTCTATGTACCTTTTTTTTTGTCATTTTCTACAATTTTTTTTGTCTTTTATGTCATTTTTTTTGGTCAACTAACTATTAAAATTAATTTTTGTTAATGATATGAATTACATTACATCATTTTTAAAAGTTAACAAAAAATGTCTCACAAAAAAAATTTAGGATTCTAAATACTTCTAAACCTATAGTTTAGAAGTTAAATTATCCTTTAATCTTAATTTATAAATTTTCTTTCAAAATTTATAAGTCTTTCCTTAAAAATTTATAACTTAACTAGTGTATCCAAGATTTATAGGCTCGTCATTCAAAAATTTACAATTCAACTTATGTATGCAAGATTTTATAAATAGATTTTTTTTAAAGCATTGGGTGAGCTATAAATTTAACTAGTGTGATAATTTAGTTACTTGTCAATAGTATTATTAACCATGGTGATTCGATAATTACATAGTAATCAGTAAAACTAGCTGTTTAAAATACCTTGACATTTATTGGCAATTTATTAGGACTTAATTGGCGTTCACAAGTCACCTTCTAACAAAAATTAATGAATGTTTAATGAAGGGGGAATATTTTATCTCTTTTTTTTTATATAGAGAAAATACAAAATGATACAAAGATAGAGGCTGAGGAATCTTTTTCAAATAACAAGAAAAGGCTGCAAAAGGCCCAGGCTTCGTTAGCCGAAGTGTATTGTCCAATTCCGTTTATAGATCCATAAGGGATGCCTACCTAAGGCTATAGAGGGCTCTTGTAACTCCTATGTAGAGGACAAAAATGAATGTGTAGTTGGGTAGTGGAAGTTTGTAGGAAAATTTTTCTTGATTCAATTTTTCCTTAACAGTGGTTAAATGCTGAAAGTCTATATCTGCCATTTATTTTGTTTCTATCTAAGGACGCCAAGAGTGCCTACTTGGGGATATGTTAGCGACCTATGAGTATCACCTTTCAAAACAGCTCAAGTTTCTTTCCTATGGTGAGTCTCTTCCTAGAGCTCCTAGTGAACAATTCTCTGGTGATTTGACCTACAGTATCCAATAATTCGCCCTTTTGATACATGACTGAATGAAACTTGTTGAAGTAGATTGACTCTTTTACTGCTGAGTGATAGGCGCTTAAGTGGGATGGACAACTCCCTCCCAAAAGCTAGTTACCCACTTAAGTACTTTTCTGAGCATCACATATTAATGATTTTTTTTAAAAATATCCAAATACTTCTATACATGCCAAAATTAATTATGAACATAAAACCATGGTTATCTCATAAGTCATAAGCTACTATTGCCTATTTTTCAATTATATATTCCTAAAAATTTATCCAAAAATCATAGAAACTCTATTTTAAAAATCATAGTTTTGGTTCATAATTGTTTTTAATATGTATAAAGCACCCAAGTAACTTAAGTTTCCATCAATGGGCTCCCCTTGGTGGCCCAAGATCCTTGGGGCTATATTGTGACACTTCACTCTTCACTCGACTTTCTTGTTAGTTATGATCCACCATTGGTAGTTCTTTTCGGAACTGTTGACCACCAACTTTGATACCAATTAATGGCTACTCAAGTGGGATAGGGAATCTTCTCTCAAAATCTAGCTATTGAGATGGGAGAATCCATCCATTAAATACCCCATTCATCATTCCATTGCTATTCAATGTGGCATTTAGACATCTCATGCTACCTAAGTCTCCATCAAAATGAAATTGGATGAAGGTTTGATTTGTGCTCGTTTTGCTCTATGGTTGATCAACTCGCAAATGTGCTACTAAAAGGTTGTCTGGTATCACTTTTTAAGACTTAATCATCAAGAATACGATGGATATTCTAGATGATTGGTGGGAGAAAAAGATATTCATATGATGTTCTTATGTGAGGCTATGTACTTATTCTATTTATTTGTGTATTTTGTAATATTATTGGTAATATATATGCAGGAATATTCATCGCATGAGAAATTCAAAAATAAAGGACTATCTTTTGCCAATGAATTGACTGAATTGTTTCGAGGTACCACAGCCAATGGACCCAGAGCATGGGCACCTTCAAGTGGAGTCTTGCTTAGGTTTTACCATAGGAATGAAGATGAGGACGAAGATGTACATCGTCCAAGTATGGCCAATGAAGGTATTGATTTGGAAGAAGGTTCAGGAGATAATGATGGGATTTTAGGAACTTTTACTAGAAAAAGCGATGGATTCAATAGAGTAGTTCTGAATATTTCTCAAGGAATCTTAAGTGGAGGTAGTGGTGAGAGGAAGAGGGGTGAAAGTAGTAGCAATAGGAAAAAGAAAAAGGTACATAGTACAAGTCAAATAGCAAATGCAATGGGTGGCATAGCTGAAATAACAAAGGTAGAATCTCAAGAGGCCAAGGAAACTTCAATTCCTAAAGTCATGTCTCTAGTCAAACAAATGGAGAAAGTTACAGCTGACAAACATTGGCTTTCATAATGTTGTTCACTCTTTATGTCTCGAGAGGCAAGAGTGATATTTATGACTATGAAGGAAGATAGAGAGACTGTGTTAGATTGGTTGAGATATGAGTGTTATAAAAATGGTTGATTTATGAGGGGTTTTAAAACTTGTTATGAACATATTACCTTACTTAAAGATTGGTCTGATATGTTTGTATTATATTATCAAATTTGACTTATGTAACTTGTAACACTTGCCTTGAGTGTTATCCAAAAATCACATAATTCAAACAAACTAAGTGTGGTTAAGGAGTTGATCCTCTAACTAACTTAAGAAATAAATCATTTAAAACCTTAAAAATAATTATAGGTTCTACCTATAGCGCACGGAAGCAAGTTAGACGAAAATGGAATAAAAAGATGCTGTCATGACAGTAATTTATTGCTGTCATGACAGCCCTCCTGGGCCAACTTCCAGGAGGCGGTATTCCGTCATTCGACCTCCGATTGAAGTGATTTTAAAACTCACACGTCACATTCAAAGGGTACTATAAGTGTACCAAATTTCAAAAAGATCCAACGGTCGGATTAAAAATTAGACATGTTAAAAGATTGACTATTTTTGCTGTCATGACAGCTAAAAAGCTGTCATGACAGCACTTCCGGACCAACTTCCGGAGTGCACCATTTCATCATCTGACCTCCGATCGGAGTGATTCCAAAGCCCACATGTCACTTTTAAAGAATACTATTAGCATACTAAATTTTGAAAAGATCCAACGGACGGATTGAATTTTGTGCAGATTACAAAATCAACACTGTAGCTGTCATGACAGCAATTTAATGCTGTCATGACAGCACCTCCAGACCAAATTCCAGAGTGCGTCGTTTCTCCGTCCGATATCCGATCGATGTGATTCCAAAGCCCACACGAAGCTTATAAAAGGTTTTACTTGTGACCCAAATTTTAGAGAAATCCAACGGTCGGATTAAGATTTGGATACCCGGATACAAAAGTGCAGCTTTTTGGTAAAAACCATTTTCAAAATTGTCCAAATCCCATCCTAATGGTCACAAACCTGTGAAAACACTTTGGACACGTCAAATAAGATTAAAAACACTTGATAGAACATTCAAATGATGGAAAACCCCTATACATCAAAATTTGACCACCCGGGTGCCATTTCCTAAAATGGACCCTAAACCCCTAAAATGCACAAATCATACAAGAGTGGTCACAAATCAATCCAAATACCATGTATTTATATAAATACATATGCTAAACATTTTCACTTGGCTCAGAGCTCCTTGTGGGGCCCACGCACCCACTCTCTCTATCCAAGCTGTATGTTTTCCCATAGCACACCATTTGCAATGCAACCACTTTGCATTTGCTTATAAAATCACATATATATCAAAATAAAGATCTGCTTGTAATAGAAACTTGGTCTACTAAGTAAATCCATCAAAACCACACACCATAACCAAGTTTCCTAGCCACAAGTCTGCAAACAGACAAAAATTCATACACAAGCACACAATCCACACATATTCACACACACACACATAATCATATCCTACTGGCACCCTAATCTTAAATACATTACAGTATATTTGCTCAAAAGAAAGGGGTTGCAGTTCTTTACAAATCACAAGCAAACCCCTAGCTTTGCTCTTTTCCCCGTCCACCACTGGATCCTTCGCCTGGACCTAGAATATTGAAAAGAAAGGGGTGAGACAACCACAGTCTCAGTAACAGTGAAATCTATATTGATTATTACAAAGTAAGCCATAATTAAATAAATGAATAATAAATTCAACATAGTATATAATTTAGCCATTTAAAATGCATGAATGCATGACCTAGGTCGGTATGGCCTTTCATGACCAACAGAATGCCCCCTGGCACTCTTTAACTCGCAGGTAAACCTTATACCTACTTGTACCTCCACAGGCACAAAACATAATCTAAGGCATGATCTAATCCACCGAACCGCCTATGCCCCTTCGACGTGAATCTTGAGCAGTCAAAGCTAACTCCCTCCCAGAGCCAGCCCGACTTACTCTCCATGTGAGGGCTACCTTGGCCTAGGCACTCAACCTCACACTTCATATGTCGGATTCCCTCCCCCACTGAGAGGTGTCGAACACTCAATACACTAACCACTTTAGTGCACTGAGCCCACAATACGTAAGACAACACTGAGTACTGACAGTGTGCCATAGAATATCAAAAATCCACACCTTCTCATTGGTGAACTCCCACCGAGATCATGCCTTTTACTCTTGTCTACCTTTCCTGAGTATTGACCATTCAACACTCTAAAGTAGTATAATATTTATAAATCTCATTTCCATAAAAACATTGTTATTAAACAATTAGAAAACATATTTGCACTATAATCAAAGTAGTACCCCATAACCCCTTATAAAGCACATTTAATCTTTTAAAACATGTGATGCATGATAACTAGTAATATTTATTCAAAAATAGCTAAAACAAAGTAATAAGAAATATAAATTCCCCTGTTACCTCAACCCTTTGGTACTAAAAGAGTTCCCCTTGTACAAAATAGGGCTCGGCTTGTTCCTTACTTCTCAATAAGTTCCACCAACAATTTTCTACAACATATAAGTGATCCACATCACTTATCATGACAAATAGTATTAATGAAGACTATAACTTATACCACACAACTTAGGTCAATGAGTCATAATCCACCCTAATGGTCCATATATTAAACCAACCATTCACATAGTATCACTTAACCACCAAAACCATTTATTAGCCATCACTAGGCTAATTTTCAATTTATATAATTTTTTTTAATCAATTAAAAACCTTTACTTAGTGCCACCAACTTTCACCATTAGCCCTTATAATGAAAACCAAACCTTAATTTAAATCTTATTGGGCTCAAATAGCAAAATTATAACTAAATCAATAGGCTTAAACCATTGAGGAGCAAAAACCCAATTTCTCAAGGTTTATTTTGTGCCCAAAACACCTCTTTTCATCCAATTATTCACTCAAAACATTAGATCACTATATAGAAACTCAAAACATGCTCCCTAGAATCCAAAGAAACAAAAGCTTACAAGAATAAAGCCTTTGGGATCAAAATCCAAAAATTTCCTCTTCCAAAAATTGAAGAAAATCAAGAGAAAGAGAAGAGGATTGAAGTAGGGAGTTTACCTATCGTGTAGCCGAGCTCGCAACGGTCGCAAAGACTCCTAGATCCAAGCCTAACTCCCTCCCTTTCTCTTCTCTTCTTCCTCTCTCTCTCTCTCCCGTTTGTGCGTTTGCTTCCTTTCTCATTTTCTCTGCGTTTCTGCATCACTTTGCTCCTTAAAATGCTGGTCAAAAACTTTGGGGAAAATTACAAGAAAGGGCCCAACATTTTTTATTATTGCACAAAAGCCCGGGTCAACTTTGGTAATTTTTCCCATAGTTAAAAATCAAATAAAACCAAACTTTTGCTTAGTAAAATTCGAACTCTGGGCCTCTATTAAATTATTCTAAATTTTAATTTAATTATAGATATTTTATTTTATTTTTGTTTATTTTTTTTAAATAAATTTGAGTCTTAAAATTTTTAGGATGTTACATTCTCCCCTCCTTTAAAAAGGATTTTGTCCCCAAAATCCAAGCTAATACATGAACCAAAGAGATAAACATACCTAGGGAAACAACTGTGGATATTCCTTCCTCATTTGATCCTCAGTCTCCCAGGTTGCATCTCCCGGAGTTGCCCCTTTCCAAATCACTTTTACCAACCGGATTGTTTTATTTCTGAGTTGCTTATCCTTAGCATCCACAATACAATCTAGTTCAGTCCGGTAGGTTAAATTCTCTTGAATTTCAACCTCCTCAGGTTCTATCACATGCGACGAGTCTGGCTGGTACTTCTTCAATTGTGACACATGAAACACGTTGTGTAGACCCGCTAACTGAGGCGGTAATGCCAACTGATAAGCCACCGGCCCTACTTTCTTCAAAACCTCAAAAGGACCCATATATCGAGGAGATAACTTTTTAGCCCGAATTGAGCGTCCAACGCCTGTCAATGGGGAAACTTTGAGGAAGACATGATCCCCAATCTCAAAAGACAAGTCCTTACGACGATTATCTGCATAACTTTTCTGTCTACTCTGTGCTGTAAGAAGTTTTTGTTGGATCAATTTGATTTTCTCTGTGGTCTCATCTACCACATCCGGTCCCATCATTGTCCTCTCACTCAACTCATACCAACAAAGAGGCGATCTGCATCGTCTTCCATACAATGCTTCATAAGGAGCCATTTGAATACTGGCATGATAACTGTTATTATAAGCAAACTCTGCCAGAGGTAAATGCTTATCCCAGTTTCCCTGAAGCTCTAGGGCACATGACCTCAACATATCCTCTAATGTCTGGATCGTCCGCTCAGTTTGTCCATCCGTTTGTGGATGATAAGACGTACTAAATTTCAGATCTGTACCCATAGCCCTTTGCATAGCTTGCCATAAATTCGATGTAAACCGAGGATCACGGTCTGAAACAATATCCCTCGGTACCCCATGTAGTCGCACAATCTCCTTAATGTAGATCTCAGCATACCTATCAACCGTATAGGTGGTCTTGACCGGTAAGAAATGTGCTGACTTAGTCAAACGATCTACAATTACCCAGATAGAGTCAAAACTAGCCTGGGTCCTTGGCAAACCAGATACAAAATCCATTGAAATACTCTCCCATTTCCATTTAGGAATCTCCAAAGGCTGTAATAACCCCGATGGCTTTTGGTGCTCTATTTTGACCTTCTGACAGGTCAAACACTTACTAACATACTCTGTGACATCCTTTTTCATGCCTGGCCACCACCAATGACGCTGCATGTCATGATACATCTTAGTAGCACCGGGATGAAGGGTGTAGCTACTTCGATGTGCCTCATCCAACAATTTCTTCCGAATAGACTCATTGTTAGGAATACACACCCTATCCTTGAAAACCACATACCCATCATCACTAAACCAATAGTCCATTATCTCACCATTCTCGATGTCTTGACTTATTTTTGATAAAATCGGATCTTGAAGCTGAGCATCTCGTATCTCTTTCCAAAATTCATTAGAAATAACCATAGTATTAAGACCATTCAAAGAGAACTTAGTCATACCCAAAAAAATTTCAACCAAAGATTCCATCAATCTATGCTCCCGAACCATTAAATAGGCTACATGTAAGGTCTTGCGACTAAGAGCATCTGCTACCACATTTGCTTTCCCCGGATGATACTTAAATTCAAAATTATAATCTTTAAGAAACTCCATCCAACGTCTCTGTCTCATATTCAGCTCTTTTTGATCTACCAGGTACTTGAGACTTTTATGGTCGCTCATGACCCTGAACTCTGTTCCATAAAGATAATGACGCCAGATCTTTAACGCAAAGACCACCGCAGCCAACTCGAGATCATGTGTTGGATAATTCTCCTCATGCGGTCTAAGTTGTCTAGATGCATATGCCACTGCTCTCTCATCTTGCATTAGAACACAACCAAGACCCTTATGAGAGGCATCAGTATACACATCATAGGGCTTTTGAGGATCCGAAATCACCAATACTGGAGCTGTTGTTAACCTTTCTTTCAACTCAAGAAAAGCTGTCTCGCACTTATCATCCCAGATAAATGGCCTATCCTTCCTTGTGAGTCTAGTCAAAGGCATAGAAATCTGAGAGAAACCTTTAATAAAACGCCGGTAGTAACCTGCTAATCCCAGAAAACTACGGATCTCAGTTATCGATTTTGGTCTCTCCCATTGCATGACTGCTTCAACTTTATATGGATCAACTGCAATACCATTTGCCGACACGATATGTCCCAAGAACCTAACCTCTCTCATCCAAAACTCGCACTTACTGAGCTTGGCATATAGCTTATGATCTCGCAGAAACCTTAGGACAGTCCTCAAGTGTCTGGCATGCTGCTCCTCATCTTTAGAGTAGATCAGTATATCGTCAATAAAAACTACCACAAACTGATCCAAGAAAGGTCGAAAAATGCGGTTCATATAGTCCATGAAAACCGCAGGCGCATTAGTCAGCCCGAATGGCATAACCAAAAACTCATAATGACCATATCGAGTCCTGAAAGCAGTCTTTGCCACATCCTTCTCACTAACTCTTAGCTGATGGTACCCTGAACGTAAATCAATTTTAGAGAAAATCGTGGCACCAACCAACTGATCTAAGAGATCATCGATGCGAGGCAGTGGGTACTTGTTCTTCACCGTAACCTTATTCAACTGCCTGTAATCGATACACAATCTTAAACTACCATCCTTCTTCTTCACAAATAAGACAGGAGATCCCCAAGGAGAAACACTAGGTCTAATAAATCCCTTATCTAACAGCTCCTCAAGTTGCTTCTTCAACTCAGCTAACTCTGAAGGAGCCATTCTATAGGGAGCCTTTGAAATTGGCTGAGTCCCCGGTACCAAGTCAATTGAGAATTCAACCTCACGTTCTGGAGGTAATCCTGATACATCCTCAGAAAACACCTCTGGGAACTCCCTAACAACCTCAATTTCATCCACTATACCTGTCTCAGACCCTTGGGTAGCGAGCACTACCACGTATGTAACAGTACGGAGCCACCCCTTGGGCCTCGACTCGGTACTGGACTCTGGCCCATCACTGGACCAAAGCCGACTTTCCCACAGGTGGTACTGTGGTTATTCCTCACCACTGCCTCTCCAGGGTCTTTTGGAACCTCCCCAGACTCGAACCTCCAACCTCTACCACCTTAATGAAGTTGAGGCGAAGTCTGGTACCATTGAGTCACTTGACCCAATGGTACCAGACTTCGCCTCAACTTCATTAAGGTGGTAGAGGTTGGAGGTTCGAGTCTGGGGAGGTTCCAAAAGACCCTGGAGAGGCAGTGGTGAGGAATAACCACAGTACCACCTGTGGGAAAGTCGGCTTTGGTCCAGTGATGGGCCAGAGTCCAGTACCGAGTCGAGGCCCAAGGGGTGGCTCCGTACTGTTACATAAAAGGCGCCTTTTATGTAACAGCCCTCCTGGGTGACCACTGCCTCTCCAGGGTCTTTTCCCAGGCGCTGGACAACACACATGTCACCACATGATTGCCGGCTTTACCACAGGTGGTACTGTGGCTATTCCTCACCCCACCCTCACGGGGGTCTTTTGGAACCTCCCCAGACTCGAACCTCCAACCTCTACCACCTTAATGAAGTTGAGGCGAAGTCTGGTACCATTGAGTCAACTTGACTCAATGGTACCAGACTTAGCCTTAACTTTGTTAAGGTGGTAGAGGTTGGAGGTTCGAGTCTGGGGAGGTTCCAAAAGACCCTGGAGAGGTAGTGGTGAGGAATAACCACAGTACCACCTGTGGGAAAGTCGGCTTTGGTCCAGTGATGGGCCAGAGTCCAGTACCGAGTCGAGGCCCAAGGGGTGGCTCCGTACTGTTACATAAAAGGCGCCTTTTATGTAACAGCCCTCCGCTCACCCCGCCTCCCCGAGGTCTTTTCCCAGGCGCTGGACACTTCCCTCTCACAAGGTAATGCCGGCTTTCACCCAGGTGGTACTGGGCTTATCCCTCACCACTGCCTAACCAGGGTCTTTGGGGACCTCCCCAGACTCGAACCCGCAACCACTACCACCTTAGCGTAGTTTGGGCGAAGTCTGGTACCATTGAGTCAAGTTGACTCAATGGTACCAGACTTAGCCTTAACTTTGTTAAGGTGGTAGAGGTTGGAGGTTCGAGTCTGGGGAGGTTCCAAAAGACCCTGGAGAGGCAGTGGTGAGGAATAACCACAGTACCACCTGTGGGAAAGTCGGCTTTGGTCCAGTGATGGGCCAGAGTCTAGTACCGAGTCGAGGCCCAAGGGGTGGCTCCGCGCCTTTTATGTAACAGCCCTCCTGGGTCACCACTGCCTTTCCAGGGTCTTTTCCCAGGCGCTGGACAACACACATGTCACCACATGATTGCCGGCTTTCCCACTGGTGGTACAGTGGTTATTCCTCACCCCACCCTCACGGGGGTCTTTTGGAACCTCCCCAGACTCGAACCTCCAACCTCTACCACCTTAACGAAGTTGAGACGAAGTCTGGTACCATTGAGTCACTTGGTTCAATGGTACCAGACTTCGTCTCAACTTCGTTAAGGTGGTAGAGGTTGGAGGTTCGAGTCTGGGGAGGTTCCAAAAGACCCCCGTGAGGGTGGGGTGAGGAATAACCACTGTACCACCAGTGGGAAAGCCGGCAATCATGTGGTGACATGTGTGTTGTCCAGCGCCTGGGAAAAGACCCTGGAAAGGCAGTGGTGACCCAGGAGGGCTGTTACATAATATGTAACACCCTCAAATTTACAAACCGATTTTTCGCAAGTTATTAATTCAAGAAATCATTTTTTTTTTCATTGAACCCTTATCATACCCTTATCATGGTAGAAAAATTTCTACCATGATACATCCAAGACAATATACCACAGGTCTTAAAATATCTCAAAAAGCAATTAGAACCATGAGGGACAGACATGATCCTCATAGCATGTTATTTAAATTAGGTCATGAATCAAAAGGGACAGACATAATCCTCTTGGACATATAAATGCATTTAATAAAAAGGATTAGAGTTTACATGCTCCATAGACAAGATATGTCCTAAGTTGGCACAAGATACATTGTATAATCCAAAATAAGAGGCAACGTAAAAGATGGTGTCTCATACACCATAATTACACCTCTGGTGCTTTCTCGGCCGGATTCGCTCCTGTAAAAATATTAACCACGGGGAATGAGACTTAAAAGTCTCAGTAACCAAAAATTAATATGTAATGATGCATGCGGATGTAACTAATCATGCGATTGCTAAGTGGGCACACAAAACATTTAACCGAACAATATTTTCAAACAAACCGAACAAGTATTTAATTTGCATGACTGCACCTTATATCCTCCTTTCGCCATGCTCGGACGCCAAATCACCCGGCCAAAGGTGAGTTGGACCAAGCGACACGCCACTCATTGGGTCCAATGAGGGCTTACCACGTGGTAATAATTAACCGAACAGAAATTCCCATTAACACCATACATTAAAATACCCTGACAAGTCATGCATCATTCAAATATCCAAACAGGAATATATCCGAACAATAATATCTCATCATGATAAACAAAAATAAATTTTTAACCCACTTGGCAATAATTTCAAACAAGTATATACAGTATTTATTTTCAATAATTCATAATTTTTCCAAACAACAAAACAACACATAACCATTCACAAACACACTCATCACAACACATTAATAATGGTTACCTTGTGTCTTGAATAACAAGTTCCCCTTCACAACTCCTTTTTCACCACTATCTTTGTCAATATAATCTACATAATTATTTCACAATACTATATATTAATTTTACATTAAAATAAATAACTCTAATTTAAAGAGTTAGAAAGTCTTAAATCTATAGTCCATATTAACACTAATTTAAGATTTATGCCTTATTTAACTTCCCAAATTCTTTTCTAAAATTCTCGTACCCTAATGAACTATTTTTTTTTTATCCTCAATTCACTTCTAGTATCGCAATTTCATCCTTCTACATTCTAAAAATTCATCTAAAAATAAATTAAAAATTTTAGAATTATCCTGAAGCCTCAAATCACCTTTCTATAACCTCAAAAATACCTATTCATACTTAAATAAATATTTAATAATCATAGATTTATCCCTACATCTCAGATTCCACATAAATTCAACCATATAGATCTAGATTTTAACTCAAAAATTCTTAAACATGAGTTTCAACCTTAAGAAAATATTCTATAATATTTACTATATCCCTAAGAATTTTAACCTATATTTTTAATCCATCATATCATCAGATTAACTATCCTATAGAAAAATCCTAATCAAAATATTTACTCTATCCTACAAAATAATCATATCACTAGAAAGCTAATATTATTTAGAAAATAACTATAAAATTAATTTTGTAATTAAATAAATTTTTAAATGCTAATCTAAACAGGAAAGTTAGAACATACCTGAAGAAAAAAGAAAATAATCCCCCCTTGCGAGAAAACGCCGAGCAACGTGAGAGGAAGAGAGAAAAATAATATAAAAATGGGATTGTGAGTCCCAAAATTATATTAAAAAAAAACTATAGGTTTGAATTTAATTATTCAAACCTTTGGGCCCAAAGTTGCAATTTTCTCTAAATTGCATCTTAGCCTCTCATGCTTCTTAATGCACACACCCCCTCCTTTTTATACATGAAGGCACCTCTTCTCTTCCCTCATCTAACCAATGTGGGACTTAGAAACAACAACCTTCCACCCTTCCTTTTTTTTGTTCCTTCTACCTTCTCTTTTTTTTTTAACACACACATAAAAAAAATTATTTATGTATTATATCTTAACTAAATATTGCTTATGTGGTTTTAAATTTAAATTTTTAAATTCATAATTAAATACCTAATCATAATATTATTTCTAAATAACCTCAAATAATATAAATTCCTATTATTATCATTTTTTTTCCTCAAAACCTAAATTCCACAATTTCTTTATTATATAAAAATCAGGATGTTACAATTCTCCCCTCCTTTTAGAAATTTTGTCCTCAAAATTTAATAGATAAGCTTAGAAACTATGTACCTAAGCAAAAATGTGGGATAATCTCGCCTCATACTCTCCTCGGTCTCCCAAGTAGCATCACCTAGGGCTCCACCCTTCCAAATCACCTTCACGAGTCGGATGGTCTTATTGCATAGTTGTTTGTCCTTAAAGTCCTCAATTCGCTCCGGTTCGGATCTAAAGGTCAAATTCTCCCTCAATTCTACTTCTTCAGGTTCAATAACATGGGAGGGATCCGGGTTGTACTTCTTCAACTGTGATACGTGGAACACATTATGGATACCTGCAATCTGTGGAGGTAATGCAACTCTATATGCAGTAGATCCAATTCGCTCCAAGATCTCATACGGGCCCATAAATCTAGGTGTCAATTTCTTTACCTTAATGGATCTACCAATGCCTGTCACTGGAGAAACCTTCAAAAATACATGATCTCCTACTTCAAACTCTAACGGCCGTCTCCTCTTATCAGCATAGCTCTTCTGTCGGCTCTGAGCGGTTAGCAATTTTTGCTTAATCATTGCAATCTTCTGGGTGGTCTGCTCTATAATTTCTGGACCAATGATACTCCTCTCACTTAATTCTGTCCAACATAAAGGCGATCTACACTTCCTTCCATACAAGGCCTCATAAGGCGCCATCCCAATACTAGAATGATAGCTGTTATTATAAGCAAATTCAGCTAATGGCAAATGATTATCCCAACTACCTGGTAGTTCAATGGCACAAGCTCTCAACATGTCCTCCAAAGTCTGGATCGTCCTCTCTGTTTGTCCATCTGTTTGGGGGTGGTATGCGGTGCTAAAACTCAGTCTGGTACCCATAGCCTTCTGTAGCGCACCCCAAAAGTTTGAAGTGAACCTTGGGTCACGATCTGACACAATTCTAGAGGGTATACCATGAAGTCTAACTATCTCCTTAATGTATATCTCAGCAAATTTCTCTAATGTAGAGGTAAACTTGATCGCCAAAAAGTGAGCTGATTTGGTGAGTCGGTCTACTATCACCCAAATAGCATCCTTACTCGAGGGTGTTCTTGGCAGTCCAGTGATGAAATCCATGGAAATATCATCCCATTTCCACTTTGGAATATCTAACGGTTGCAGTGTTCCAGCTGGCTTCTGATGTTCTATCTTTATCTTCTGACACGTTAAACATCTAGAAACAAATTCAGTTACATCTTTCTTCATTCCTGGCCACCACCAACCTCGCTTCAAATCATGGTACATTTTAGTTATACCGGGATGAATTGTATATTTGCTCCTATGAGCTTCTTCTAAAAGGATATTCCTCAATCTTGGATCATTAGGTACACAAACTCTACCTTTATACTTCATCACTGTGTCCTCAGAGATGGTAAAATTTGGGGCCTTACCTACCACTATCTCCTTCCTTATATTCCTTAAGTAGTCATCACTCTGCTGTGAGACTCTGAGATCTTCCCAGATTTGCTCTCAAAGTCTGCTACCTGGAGTGCGGCCATTTGATGTTCAATCACATCTACTGAACATCATGAAAACTGTTCCACAAATGATATTCATGAACCATCAAATGTGCAGCATGAATAGTCTTTCTACTTAAGGCGTCAGCTACCACGTTAGCCTTACCCGGATGGTAATGTAATTCAAAGTCATAATCCTTCAGAAATTCCATCCATCGTCGCTGCCTCATATTAAGCTCTTTTTGATCAAATAAATACTTCAGGCTCTTATGGTCACTGAAGATTTGAAACTTAGATCCATACAAGTAGTGTCTCCATATCTTCAGAGCAAACACAACTGCAGCTAACTCCAAATCATGAGTAGGGTAATTTTCCTCGTGTGGTCTCAACTGTCTGGAGGAATAGGCAACCACTCGGTCATTTTGCATCAAAACACATCCTAAACCCTTTAAAGAAGCATCAGTGTACAGAGTGTACGGCACCACAGGGTCAGGAATAGTCAATACTGGAGTAGTGGTTAACCTCTTTTTTCAATTCTTGGAAAGCAGCTTCACATTTGTCAGTCCAAATAAATGGGGCATCCTTCTTAGTTAGCTTAGTTAAGGGCATCGCAATTTGCGAAAATCCCTTAATAAAGCGACGATAATAACCTGCTAAACCTAAAAAGCTTCGTATCTCTGTAACAGATTTTGGCTGTTCCCACTTCATCACTGCATCAATCTTGCTAGGATCCACCGCAACTCCACTCTGGACACAACATGGCCCAAAAACTTTACTTCTTGGAGCCAAAATTCACACTTGTTTAATTTGGCATAAAGCTTATGTTCCCTCAAAACTTGCAAGACGATTCTTAAATGTTCACCATGAGCCTCTCATCCTTTGAATAAATAAGAATGTCATCAATAAACACTACTACAAACTTATCTAAATAGGGTCGAAAGATCCTATTCATGTAATCCATGAATACCGCAGGAGCATTCGTAAGTCCAAACGGCATCACCATGAATTCATAATGCCCATATCTCGTCCGAAATGCTGTCTTAGGTATATCCTCTGCTCTCACTCTCAATTGGTGGTACCCTGACCTTAAGTCAATCTTTGAGAAAACTGCGGATCCCACAAGCTGATCCAGCAAATCATCGATTCTCGGAAGTGGATATTTGTTCTTGATGGTTACTTTGTTCAATTGTCTATAATCAATGCACAATCGGAGGCTTCCGTCCTTCTTCTTTACAAAAAGGACTGGAGATCCCCAAGGTGAAACACTCGGTCTGATGAAACCCTTCTCAAGTAGCTCTTCAATTTGCTTTTTCAGTTCCGCTAACTCTGAAGGGGACATCCGATAAGGCCTTAGAAATTGGCCCTGTACCGGGTACCAATTCAATTGAGAACTCTACTCGCGCTTTGGGGGTAA